GTCATGTTTTGTGGAGGATACCAAGTCAAGGATGTAGTGGATATTAGCACTGATTCTTCCTGTTCAGTGTGGTTTTTGACAGTTGTGCAAAGTTTGCTCAATGTCAGTGACAAACTATCTGCTTTTGTCACATTCATCCAAGTCATATTCTTGAATTAAACAACATGCGTAAGGTCAAAATTTGCACCTGGTTTTCATATTTTGTTGGTGCTGGTCTCTGCATTCGCCCTTCCATGCAAACTAAAGGAAAGAACACATGCACCACTTTAAATGTGTAATTGCTTCTGGTGGAAGTTCTTCCACAATTTAAATTGGGATGCATTCCAAATGCTCAAATCTATAATTTTTGTCTGATTGTTATGCTGTTAATTCTTGATTTCAGTGAGATGAGTAAACTGGCGCCAGATCTGTGTGCATTTATTAGGTACAAAGAACACTGGTTCATTAAAGTTGAGCTTTCAGCATCCAAATAAATATTTCATTAATTGCATATTCAGTTAACTCTGCTAGAAATAAGCTAATACTGGTGTTACCAGTACTCCATTCGGTAGTAAGCTGCTGTTAAAAGTACCGCATATATTTGCATGCAGATGAGGTTAATACTCAGAACAATGTTTGTCCTGCATTTGTCTCTAAAATAAAAGCTTGCACAAATAATTGTTGTTCACTAATGAAAAAGTATGTTGCAGATTTGAATAATAGAATATTATTAGCAATGTTAAAAGTGCATATTTCTTCAGGAGTCTGAACTTCCATGGTTACAAAATAAATTGATCTTGTATGCTTAAAGTTTGTACAGAAGCTTTTTTGTTGAGGTATGTGAAGTTGGATGTGGTATTGACTTGTTAATTGGGTAATATAATTTTGATCTGATTACATTACCAAAATGATTTGGCAGAGAGAGAGAGTAAAATGTCTGATACTGAAAAGCTGTCTCTCCTGATTAGTGAGCCTGGAATCGAGAGATGTGGGGTCAGGCAGGAAGGTGGAGTTGAGGTTGGAGGTTGGCCATTACTGTATTGATTGGCAGAGTAGTCCCTCTAGAGATTTCTGTTTCCTATGTTCCCAAAGTCTAATGACCATGTTCAAATAATCAATAGATCACAATGTTTGGAAGCCCATTCATACACGCAACGTTTTATTTTGGCTATCAGATGATTATTTTGGAATTGGGCATCTTTTTAAAATGGACCCCAGGGTGTATGCCTAAATACAGTTGAACACAGGGTTTATGCCGTATAGCAGCTATTACAAAATGTGTGAAAATGAATTGATGGCTGCCTTTTCCTTGATACAGCATATTAAAGGATGTGGGCTGATTGCAGGTACAGTAGAAAAGTATTGCACAACAGATGATCACTTAAGAGTCTGTATTGTCCCACTTATTGAGTTCCCGTACTTGGCTGTGTCCAGTATGATATTGGGCAAAGAACAGGCATTCATTTGTAATGATGATGAGTAATCCTAGATTTTTTTTATTCATTCACAGGTGGACTTGGGTGTCACTGTTTGGGCCAGGAATTAATGCCCTTAATGCCATGTTTGTTAATGCACATATTTTTCTTATGTAATTGATTAATCCTGGACACCAAAAGTTCTGCCTCTTGTACTAAGGTTAAGCACATTGCTTAAACAGGTACTATCTTTCATAGAGCCATAGCCGTCTACAGCATAGTAAAAGATTCTTCACCCCATAGAGTCAGAAACAATCAACTAATTATTCTAATCCCATTTTTCAGCACTTGGCCATAGTTTTGTATGCTTTGGCATCACAAGTGTAACATCTAAATACATGTTAAATGTTATGAATATTTCTGTCTTTATTACTCTTGGAGGCACTGAGATCCAGATTCTTATCACCCTCTGAAAATATATTTTCTCATATCCCCTCAACCTCATGCCCGTTATCTTAAATATCCATTGGTCATTGATTTCTCCACAAAGGGAAACGGTTTCTTTACGTCTACCCTGTCTGTACCTCTTATAATTTTATACATCTCAATCATGACCCTCTTAGTCTCTAAGGAAGACAGTTGCAGTCTATCCAATCTCTCTTCATAACTATAACTTCAGCCAAGCAAAGTCCTGTAAATCTCCTCTCTATCCTGCCCAGTCCAGTGAAATGGGTCCAGAAGCAAAACCTATGCTGACTGCACAGTTTTCCCACCCCATTTTCACTAGTAAATAATGCAGTAAAAAGAAAACTCAAAAGTTGCAGAAACCAGAGTTAGAATTAACTGTGCTAAACTTAAATAAAGGGAGTTACAAAGGAATGAGGGCACAGCTGGCTGGGGTGGACTGGGAACTGAGTTTAGAAGCACAGCAGACATAAATATAAATTAGATCAGAGTGGAGCACTTGGCTCCTGAAATCTGCTTCACCATTCAATAAGGTTATGGCTGATCTGATTCCTCCACACTTCCTGCATATCGATCTACCTCTGCCTTAAAAAATATTTGAAGGTTTCGCCTTTTCTGGAAGAGCGTTCCGAAGACTAATGACCCTCTGTCAGAGAAATAAATTCCCTTTGTCAGTCTTAAATGGGCAGTCCCTTAGTTTTAAACTATGACTCTAGGTTTAGATTCTCCCATGAGACAAACATTTTCACATTTACCCTATATCCCTCAGGATCTTAGGTTTCAATCAAGTTGCCTCGTGCTCTTCTAAACTGGGGAGGATATGAGCCTAGCCAATCCCCATTAGAATTTCCCCACAAAGCCCTGTCACCCAACGCGCACACAGACACAGACGCACCTTATCTGAACTGGGCTCAACACATTTATGTCCTTTCTTAAATATGTTGACTAATACTGTACACAGTGCTCCGGTTGTGGTCTTGCCAATGCCCTGTAAAATTGAAGCGTAACCTTTCGTGTTGAATTTCCCTTGCAATAAATGAGAATATGGTATTAGCTATCCTTATTATTTGCTGTATGTGCATACTAACATTTATGATTCAATTACTAGACTCTATCCCCCTGTATTTCAGAGCTTTGCAATCTCACTTCGTCTACCACATGACCGATCTCTCACCGACACAGTTCGTTTTAACAGCAAGAATAAAAATGGAGAATTTCACATGTCCCCACATTATACTCCATTTGCTAGGTCTACTCACTTAACAGGACCATATCCATTTGCACCCTCCTTGTACCCTCTTCAGAACTTATTTTCCTCCCTATCATTTGATTGGCACCCCTTCCACCAGCTTCAACTTTCCACAAGTTTCCTAGCACCCCTTTTTATTTTTTATGTAAATCGTTAAAAGTGAAGGCCCCAGCATCCATAATTTCTAGATTTGGACCCAACAACAGTGACAGAACAGCGATTAAAGTTCTAAGTAAATGGTATGTGTCTTAGATTGGAACTCCTAAGTGGTGATGCCCTCCGGCATCAGCTGCTGTTGTCATCAAGATGATGGTGGGTTTTGAAGGGTGCTGTTGGACTCGCCTTGGCGAATTGCTGTGATGAATCTTGTACATAGTATAGACTGCTGCCACTGTGCTGGTGGTATAAGGAGTGAAAGTTGAAGCTGCTGGAAGGGGTGCCAATGGAAGTGGGCTGCTTTGTCTGGAAGTGTTGAGCTGCTTAATTGTTTTTTGATCTGTGCCCATCCAAGTAAGTGGAGAGTATTCCATCACACCCTTGACTAGCTCCTTGTGGAAGGTGGACAAGGTTTAGGGGAGACGTGCACGTTATTTGCTGCAGAGTTCCCAGTCTCTGACTTCCAGAGACTAAATTGAAGTCTGAAATACTTGTACCCAAATATTTATATGGCTGGACCAGTTCAGTTCCCAATCAGTGGTAACCTGCAAGATGTTGAGAATGGGGATTCGGCAATGGTAATGCCATTGAATGTTTTGGGGAGATGGTTCGATCCTCCTTTATTTGCAGTCAACTGCTTTTTGACATGCAGTTAGAAAGCACTTCTATTTATTGGCAGCATTTTAGATTTGAATTCTGCATACCACTAATCTGCTGCCTATCCCAATAAGTAAGGCCTGTTCTGCCATCAGATTTTATAGGTCAGTCATAAATCGGTTTTGATTGTGAAACTGGTAGCAGAAAGTAGGTGGTGTAAAAATTCTATTACTGACCTCCCAGATTTGAAACTGAAACATCAGGATAAAAGCGTCTGGCAATGTTTCGTTGTGGGTCGGTGAAGAGCCTGCTTAATCCACATATAAGATTACTTTTGATTGTTGAGAGTTGTTACTAACATATCCTTTTTTCTTATTACATAGGCCATTCTTAAATAAATTGGAAGTCCTTTGATTAAGACATCTTTGTCCTCAAATTCGCAGATTCTCTTAAATATTGCAAGAAATTATGAAATAAAACAAGTAAATGGCCTACTGAACTTGGAAATTCCTGCATGAATTTTTAAAAACCTGAATCCGCATAAAAGTAATACAAATAAAGATTTTATCTCTCGCATCCTGCTCCCCCAGAACAACAAAAAAGCCATCAACCACTTTTGAAGTAACTGTAGTGAGCTATTAAGTTTGATTCTGTGGGGCTGTTGCTAGTGTACTACTCCTCCCCGAGTGCATGAATGTATTGATGAACTACTTCTCCTTGCTATCAGCTTTCCCAGACTATACGGTTTGTTGATCAAAGTTTAATTAGAAGGATGGCATGGTCAGCCATGGGTTGTCTGTGGTTTTTTTTCCACTGTTACATCCCAGTCCTTTAGAAAAAAACTAGTATGGCTGCTTTTTAACAAAACATAGTACAGAAGCTGAAGGTTCGCGAAGCCTGAAAATTCCAGTTTTCCAAGAATATTATCTGTTTCATGATATTTTTGAGCTACATTTACAGAACAGGAGCAATGGTATGCCATAATGTGATAAATTGAGGAATGCATTTTAAGATGTAAATTGGAATTTTAATGTGTTATCTTCAGGTATTCAGTGCATTGATGTTATTATTGATGTTATTTTCTGTTCAGAACCGAATCATATGGACTCAGTATTAATCAGCTCTGATTTCTTCTTTAGGAATATCTTCCAACACAACAGGACATTCTACTAGCACGAAGACCGACAAAGGGAATACATGAATACGACTTTGAAATAAAAAATGTGCCCTTCAAGATGGTAGATGTGGGAGGACAAAGGTCAGAACGAAGGCGCTGGTTTGAATGCTTTGATGGGGTGACATCCATTCTGTTCCTGGTATCTTCAAGTGAGTTTGACCAGGTGCTTATGGAGGACCGGCAGACGAATCGCCTGAGTGAGTCCTTAAACATCTTCGAAACAATAGTCAACAACAGGGTCTTTAGCAATGTCTCCATAATTCTTTTCCTTAACAAGACGGACTTGTTGGAGGAGAAGGTCAAAACTGTTAGCATCAAGGACTACTTCCCTCAATATGAGGGAAACCCCCATGATCTCTCTGATGTCCAACAGTTCTTGGTGCAGTGCTTTCGTGACAAACGTCGAGACCAGCAGCACAAACCACTCTACCATCACTTCACCACCGCCATTAATACGGAAAACATTCGTCTTGTCTTCCGTGATGTCAAGGACACTATCCTCCACGATAACCTTAAGCAGCTGATGCTCCAGTGACATCAGTTACTTTGTCACTTTTAGTATCTGGCACTGACAGCAGCTTACACCAGAGTGAATTAAGGTTACAGTTCCTTCAAAAACTTAAGGCAGCTGCTGTAAACTGCTCAACTGAAGAATGCCAAATTTATTTTTCAGACTTGATCTTTCAATTCCTTTGCCCCAGTTGAGTTTTCCTGAGGGTATTCTAATCAAGTGTATTCTTAGGCAACCTGACAAGGTTTACGATTTTGTTTCTTCAAAAATGAAGATAGTCAAAGCTGTGGTGTTGAATGTGGAAATTGTCTTGTTAATATCTGCTCTCTCCCTCTTTCTCCCAGACCCCAAACAAAAAGGGCTGTTACAAAGCAAAAGTAATTATTTATTCCAAAAAGAAATGTTTGTGTTACAGACATGGATTAATGACATTTTGTTCATGAGTCCATTTGGGAATGAAATTTGTTGTCACTTCCAAATGGTTTTCATGACTTCTCAAAAATGTTTAAAATTTTGCTATTTGGTCTA